TTATGCTGCCTCCTAGCCTTTAGTGCCACAGCAGATAGTGCCCTATCCACATGTGACACAAGTATTACAAGTATTTCACACAGCAACACATACATGTTTTCAACTTATTTTAACTTTTACTTATTTGTCTCCATGCTGGGGGAGCTGCTTCTGCTTAGCTCTGCTGGGAATCCTTAAAGCTGTTTGGGACTTCCAGTCAGCAAAATAATCAACCATAAGGCCACCCCTATAAAAGACATTCTGGAGGCGCCAGATGGTTTCCTGTGTCAGCTGAAACACACATTATACAACTTATGAATCGTGTCTTTGTTGCTGTTTTGGTTTGGGGGGGTCAGTAGCCTCACCTGTCCCTGTACTGTGTCTGCTTTATTCTATTTTGCTTTTCAAATCTGCTTTCAGCATAGACACCAGACATTCCCATTGAAAAGATCTTTTTCAATGGGAATGTCTGCCTCGGGCAGAGTCTTCATCAGCAGTCATGTTCAAGCAGGTCTTACTGGATGTTTTGCATTTGGTTTGTTAACTTCAGCCCTGAACTAACATAGTCAGTCTCTGTGTATAACTGAAGCTTCTGATCACTTACGAGCTGAAATGGCAAATCACCATATCATTTATTTCAGTGCTTCACTGCGAGAATCTCCCCATCACTTAATCCACATTTCTATAAGTACATTGCAATAATATGATAATTATGTAAAAGCATGGTTTTCTAGTCTTCTTTTCTCATATTCAAGTATTGCAAGTTATTTAACCGGTGAGAGTAAACAGTGTACTTGAGGGTGAGTTCATATTCTTTCTATGCGAAATCAGAGCAAGAGATTTACAGTTACATTAACATCGTGGGTCCTGTAGCCATTTCTCTCAGGGCGCAGTGTCGGTATAGAGGCCTGCTCTAAAACTGTAATGCAAACACTGCGTGACATTCACACTGCTGGGCGTGGGCATCGAGCAGCAGGCGGGATCGTCTTTGGTGCAGTTCCCGTCGAGCTGCCAGTGGGCAAACAAACAGGTGAGTCCTCAGCCGTGCAGCCGGTCGAGGCTCAGGTTCCGCCCAGCTACAGCAGCTGTCAGGTGTCAGTGCTTCAGTGGTGGGAGCCGTGTGTCGCTAACTCAGCTTTGTCTGTTTACGATATGAGAGGACGGTACAAAATAAATGAGCGCAGGGGCAGACGGGGAGAAGCCGACTCCTCTGCTCCGCTGGGGGACACCGCGGCGGGCTCACCTGTCCCAGGTGCAGCAGTGCGTGATGTGGGAGGCACTAAGAAAGGTAGGCGAGAAGATGTTTTATCTCTGAGGCAGAACATTTATTATTAAAGGACTTTATCGCAGCTCTTGTACTTTTACAGGAACGATGCTGGGCTTCGTTGTTTGTGTGTTTTATCTAAGGAACTCCTAACAGCTTGTAGTAACTTTACAAACTCACCGGACACGTTTTTGGGTACACCTGTTCGACTACTAGTTACCACAGATATCCAACCAGCCAATGATACACTGAGCTACAGAAACACGACTTTAAACGTAGCATGGTCGTCAGATCGACTGTTTGCTGATCTACTGTCAGCGCCTGGGCGTGTGTTGTTTAGAGAGAGCGCTCCAGACAAGAGAAACTATGATGCGATAACAGACATCAGACTTCGAGCTTGGTCCTGCACCATGAAGCCAGGACTTCTTTACGTTTTTGGATTGACCCTAAAATCAGCCTAAACAGTCACATGAAGCTGGTTATCAAACGAGCTGTGGGCCACTTTAGTGTTCAAGTGGCACAAAAACAACCAAACAAACAAGAAAACAGCCACAAATATTTCAGAAAATGTTTTGTTTCTTTGTTTTTATTTCAAATATTGTATAAATAGACTCTTAACTAACTGAAGTCTTTCATTGAACGAACAAGCAAACACACTGGTCCCTGTCATTGTGTTCATATTTAACAAAATCAAACTGCACACATGAGTTTGTGACTCTCTCACTGAGCGAACACAGCCTCAGCATGTTTGTGCTCTCTGCTCATATTGGTTTCAAAAAAGTCCCTTCAAGGGCCAAACTGCCTTACATTTATTCACATCGGTATACGGGCCACAAGTAGGGCCGACATGGGCTGCATGTGGCCCCCGGGCTGCGAGTTTAAGACCGCTGTACTAAATTCAGATTTCTGCAGCGCATCCATGTGAAGAGGGTGATGTTGGCAGCATGTGGCCAATCTTAAAGGGTCGTTTAATGGATCATACAACCTTTTTTTGCACAGATAGTGATCGCCTACTCCAGAGAGGTTAGCAAATGGTGATTGGAAATCTATAAAGAATCTAAATATATAATAGTCAGATATAACACTGTGGTTAATTATTAATCTGGGGGCACAGAGTGGTAAAATAAACATTTTATTTCCAGTGAATTATTTTAATACTGAGCTCTCAGTCCTGCCGTAGACGTCTATGGTGACAGGTCAGAGCTCTGACACTTTAGCCTGCATCCATTTAAACGTTGAAGCTTACTGTTCCACAGCCCGATAAAGGAGGCATGGAAACTGGAACAAAGTTTGGAATTCTAGAGTCCTGACAACCCTGCTAAAAACAGGAATGTGAGGATTCACTTCACTCATCTAAAGGTGTTGTTTAAATGGGACCTGCTTCGTTCTGTGTGCATGTTTGAGGAAAAGACAAAAGCAAAGTGCAGGGAGCTGAGCTTGTGCAGGTTACACTGTGAGCCACTTTACTCTTATCAGTCTGTGTTATGCTATTTATTTATTTTGTTTGCTTCAATGCATTTTATTGAGCTTTTTTTCTCTTTTATTGCAACTATATTTAGCCTTGAAAAACATATTTCATTTGATTGTATTTACTTGAGCTGCGTTTATTCTTTCTCTTTGACTGAGCTCTTTTCATTTCGGTCTTATTTTGAAAAGTTCTTCAAAGCTCTTTTCATTTCGGTCTTATTTTGAAAAGTTCTTCGACTCTATGCAGGCGTATATGTTGTAGGTTCTGTTGACTGTTTTGGCATCTGTAATGCAGAAGTTACCCGTCATTTAAACCTGACGCTATACTGTGTTGATGATACACTGACATTCAGATAGGTGTCATACAGTAGGTGAAGCACGGCCACATCTTACAGCTACAAGTCATTATATGTTAAATATGACACTGTTGAGTGTTAAATGATCACTTTTGACAGTGTTATATTTTTTAAAGTAACCTAGTCAGAAGATTAACAATGGCTAACACTGAGCAGTGCTGGTTTTCTAACATTTTGAGTTACTTTCCGGTGTTAGAAAATCAGCACTGCTCTGTAGAGAGCTGGTTCTGTGTCATGGCGCCACAGCAGTCTGATCCTTCATGTTTTCCTGCAGGTGCCAGACGTTCCATTTATGGTAACGACAAGGTCTACCTCGGAGTCCGTGTCAGAATGCCAGTAAAGGATCTGCTGAGAAACATCCGCCTCACTCAAGGCTGTGGCCAAGATTTGAAGGTAGGCTTGAGGTTCAAAACACACGCGTACAATAAAAGTGTGACAAAGATACAGCCGCACAGAAACACATTTCACTGCTTGGAAAAGGAAATCTTGTGTTTTCTGAAATCATAGTGAGGTTTACAAGTTCCCCCAAACGCTGCACCAACTGAAGCCAAGGCAAAATAAGAAAGTGCGTGTAACATGTGACATGCTGTAGTCATCAAATGTGAGATTATCACAACAGCGTCTTAATAACTGATAACTGCAGGCAGCAGCACACAACCGGCTGCCGATCACGCCCGTTTTATCCTCAGGTAGAGAACTGATCATAATGTGCAGCCGAAAACTGATCTAATGTATCGTCTGCAGCGTGAGCTCACTTCTCAGACGGCACTGTGGTGGTGCTGGCTGTTTATGAGCTGAAAGTAAAGGTTCTGTTAATCATGCTTAAAGAGTGAAAGTGGCTTTGCATTAGGTTCACTGTAGGTTCAGAAAGATACTGCATGAATAGGTAAAAATTGGACTTCTGTATAAGTTCTGTATAGTATTATATTTAGATTTATATTCACACTGACGCACTCTTTGTTTTTATCCCTTCATCATCCAACTGTGTGAATGCAGGACAGATGCAGCAAAACAGCCAAAGGTCAGTGCAATCTTTATTTAACGCGGCAGTGTGCACCACGGAGGAGGTCGTGTGTTGGGTTGGTTGGCTTCTTTGCACGAAAATGTTGGCAGTGGTGGGGTTAGCCTATGTTGGATGGATGTGCGTCATCTCATGCGTGATGTTAAGAGAATTTTCCGTCGTGGCAGATTTATAGTGTTGTTTGGGGGTGTTATGGTGTCACGCAGGCTTTTGGGCCTGGCTTAAGAAGAAGCCAAACATCCTGCGTAGAGGTGTGCTGACTTATACTTGACTCTTTGTTCCTCAGGAGACTTAAAACGAGCTAAAACGAGCTCCAGGCGCCGAACTGTCAAGGTCAGTGTTATAAAAGACAGAACTCTGCTCCACCCAGAAGGTTTCAAAGTGCAAAGCTTTGGTATGCTGTAAGCTACATGTCATTTTGAAGAGCAGCTCAAATACTCTGCAGTACTCTTTGGCTTTCAGACACAACAGCCGTCACAAAGCCTGGAGGAGCTGTCAATCATCGTCGAAGTACTGGAAGAAGATCTCAGGACTGGCAGCAGAAACCCATTGTCTCCCCCACCCCTGTCCCCCACTGATCCACCAGTTTCTCCTCAGCTGTCTCCAACTGGTAATATGTTTTTTAAAGCTACTCCTTAAAGTGAGACTGTGACTGGCAATTACTTCCACCCTTGATGTACCACGCTGTCTCCGCTCGGTGCAGGACTTAACGGTGACGAGTACGATGAAATCATTCCCAGCCCCCCGTCCTACATGACCTACTCTCCAGGCACAGCAGAGTACCACCAGACCCCTCCTGGCTTCATGTTTCCCAGCTGCCCGCCCTCGATCTTTGGAATTGTGAGCAAAAATGGTGAACAAAGGCAGGAGTGGTTTGGTCCCAGGAATTACAGTGAATATAACGTGAACGGCGGCGCTTTCTTCTGGACACAGCTGCAGAAAGAGGAGGGCCAGCTGAGGGATGTCTGCGATGCAGAACTGCTGTCCGCTGATGAGCATGGCAGGACGTAAGTTTGATAGAAGACTGTCTCTGTATGTATGTTAAAGGTAATGGCCACCAAAGAGGAGGCGCTTTTACTGTTCACCTTGATTGGACGCCCACGAGCAAAAAAACTAGCTGAAATTTTCAGGAGACACAGAGGTGAAATGAAACTGCAGTAATGTACAGTATGAAATATAAATGTTGTTGTTGAACATTAAGTCTCATACATCTATCCTAGCAGAGCATCTACTGCCCAGAACTATTTCAAAAAAGAGCCCTGAGGGTAAATTATTCATGTGGACCAGATCGGGGTTAGTCAGCCGTCGTTATTGCACGGCTGCAGATTACTTTTTAACTTTTTAACAAACTAGAGCATTTAAGCTAGCCAACACATGTCATTAGACTAATGCTACAGTTATTTTACAAATATAAAAACGACTGAAGAATTAAGAGTCAAAAAGGAACCAGACGATACTACGACTCGTTTGTCCTCCTGCAGTGGTAGGCAGGTTAAATCGTCCACTGTCTCTCACCTCGCACCGACGGCTGGGCTGCACGGTCCTGCACACGCAGTCGTTCCAGCTTTTACTGCAAAGGGACAGATTTTTACTACACTGTAAAAAAATTGTAATTGTAATCTAAAAGTATTTTACTGCGTATTTTACAGTTTTGTACTGTTTTTCTTGAATATCATTAAATTCACATAAATAGACTGATTTTACATTTTTACTGGTGATGGTCAGAGGGCAATAGTAAAGTGGAATTGTAAAGCGCTTTGAGGGTCTCATAAAGCGCTATATGAATGCAATCCATTATTATTCAAACCAACTGTTAACTGTATATTTCTGTACATTTAATGGTAAATGGCCTGTATTTGTACAGCGCTTTACACACCCAGTCATCCACACATTCACACAGTGCTGATGACGCTACATTGTAGCCACAGCCACCCTGGGGCGCACTGACAGAGGCTTTAAGTATATATTGCTGCATTCATTGACCTTGTTTATAGGTAATTTCATTGTTTAATCACATTAAATTGTTCCTAATTTAATGTTTAAAAGCACGTGAAAAGGCAAAATCCCATGTAAAATTAGGGCAACAAACTGTATTGTCATTACTGAAAATAACCGTATTTTCATGGGAAAGTTTTTTTCTGGTATTATTTTGGCGCCCCAGCTGCTGGGATATTACTGTTTTTTAGGATTTTTTTTTACGGTGCAGAGAACCTTATGCTGGAGCTGACAGTCGAAACTGTGCATGTACAGCTGTGGTCAAAAGTTTGCATCCAGTGATCATGGGCAGGAATGTCATGGACGTTCTGGGCTTTTAATGATTTCTTTTGAACTATTGATTTTTAAATTAATAGTTAAATTTAAACAAGAGCTGGGGACACACGTTTGAATTTATTTGGGATTTTCTCTAATCCACACAGGATCAAAATATGCATATACCCCCCATTAATACTTGTCCCTTAGCATGTTCACCCTCAGTGACATCCGTTTGGCAGACATTAATGAGCTTCTGGATGAATACTTGCTCACTCTGTTTGGCAGATAACTATAAATCTCTTGTCTTAGCAGCAAAAAGATAGATGCACTGGAAAATCAACAAATGTGTCATTTAGAAAAAATCTGTATGCGTTTGTATTGAGGTAATGGGCCCTTTTCAAAGTAAAAGTTTGAGCTTGTTGGCTACACTAACATAATGTACTGTTTTTTTTATCATTGTGTTGACATAAAGGTAGACAGAGCCACTGTCTAACTTCAGCTTGTGATCTCACCTTTAAAAAATCCAGATGGTGCTTTCTAAACTGCAAATTTCGTGTCTTCTGCAAAGTCAACAAGCTGCCAGCAAATTTCTGTTTGGCAAAGATTCATGAGATCTTCTTCTTTCATCGCTCTCTCTTGTTTTTTCAACCATGTACTTACGGGATCCTGTAACTGATGTCTCAGAGCTGTGCTGAAGGACTGACTTGCAAAACCAGCCTTCAACTAGTTTGGTCACATTTGTTGTCGTTCAACATTTAAGTTCCTTTTTTTCAAAGGGCGTTTTGACATGCTGGAAACTCACGCTCGGTTTTTGTCTTCTGCTGTTACTTACATTCACCAGGGCACTGCTCTAATTAGTCTGCTGCAAGGAGGACACAAAGAAGCTCACTCAAATGTGCAGAAGTCCTTGGACACAAGACAAACTTTCAGTTTACACAGACACAGCTCCAGTTACATTTGCATTTATTGTATTTCATGTATTCGATGTTCGTGTATGAAAATGTTTTTTGTTAAAGAATTTGTCAGACCACAGGAAGAGTAGCTGCCGCAGAAGCTGATGGAGATCTTAATACACAAACAAATAAAGTGTCCATAACCCACCTTTACCCATTTCTGTAGCCCTGTGTCAGTAAAAACTTGAATCGCTTATTTGTGTTTCTCCTTCCAGAATTCTTCACAGAGTAGCATGTGTTGGAAAGAGGGCTCTGGGCTTTGCCATTGCTAAAAGGATGGCCACATTCAACAGCCTGGACCTAAAAGACTCAGATGGCATGGTAAACAGATTTCTATTTTTATGAATATTACAACTATCTGTTGCTTTATACAACATTTCCCTCCAGTGTTTTACAAGCCTGGCAACATGTCAGGCATCATTTTTCTTTGCTTTTAAGCCTGTAACCAGTAAGTTAGCTAACACCACAACGTGACCAGTTTATCAGCAGTACTGGGACTAATAACAGCCAATAAATGAAAATGACAATTGAGTGTTGACATTGCACAGTTTGTCTAACGGGGGAAATCTGCAGTTTACCTCTTGACAACCTGTCGTTTAGAACACTTACAAAAAACAAGTAGTAGCTAATCCAAGCTAATCTGAGCTGATGTAAAACACATGGTAGGTGATGATAATGGTTCATCTGTTTCAAAGAAAAAATACCAGCCAGTATATCAAAATATCAGATTTTTAATCCACCAAATATTGCTATTGGCCTTTGAAATCCTGCATTAGCTAATGTGTCCTCGTGGTTTTCCCTGTTAGCCATGTGCAGATAACAAGCACGGGGGATAAAGACGTTTAAAATATGAACTTAATACTGTGTCACCTGTTCAACTAAGATTCTTCCAGCCCGTTCTCCCTCCTGGGGCGTAATATGATGACGATTTGTCACGTCCCACGGCATTCCTGAGGAGCGCGACAGGTGACCGCCCATGTTTTTGTTTTTTTTGTTTGTTTGTTGTTG